TTTTATGCCAGATTTCAGATACTACCTTATTTTCACCGAGTAGTTGATATTTACTCAAAAATAAACAATGTACAAATAATCTAGTGAGGCTTGTGGTTCTTTATTCAGTTTTCGCATTTTAGGCTGCATTTGGCATTGTCTATTTAGGAATATACGGTAACACAAAAGCAACGGTTCGCCCTTCACATTAATTGTAGTATTAAAATTTCTGATCCTTTGCTAATTTAAGAATAGAGTTTCCAACAGAACTCCAGGCTACAGTTCCATCGGTTCGAAGTTAGTCACCTATTTTAATTACATAGCTTTTATAGGCTCAGCATGCAGTATAGAGTATGTTAAGTGTCACTGCAGAAAACTTTATAAATTTTTAGTGTTTGCTGAAAAAGTAAAATTTCGAGAGTCATAAGTCAAAATTCGACAAGTGGAAAATTTAACTAACAAATGTCCATAGTAGCTCTTCAAAGTTGGCAATAGTAGTATTTAGTTAGTATTTATTTACATTTGCTAAAGTTTTCTCTTTGCACAGTTTTTTGTTATGTCAAACTTAACTTAACTGTCAAAAATTTGAAATCAATAAAATCAATTCAAATATAATATTAACTTTCTTCAGGCGCACGCGTCAACGACCATGAAGGTAAGCTTTCGAGATAAAAAAAAATTTCACTGTAATCTACTCGAATAAACCTCCAAAGACTCCAAAAAAAAAGTTATTCCAAGGGTTCAACGTGGTCATCATGCAGTTGCTGTAAGGATTTGGTAGGGTGTCATCATAAAGGCATTATGCCGCTTCACTTCTGTAAAAAGGGGTTAAAAATGTGGGCAAAGTGTATCTACGGGATGTTTTAGAATTCGTGGTAAAACAGTTAAGCAATACTCTTTTCGATGGATAGCATTGGATCTTATAGCAAGATTCTGCTCCAGCACACAACGCAAAAACCACCCAGTAAAAGCTCGAAACCAGTATTCCTGGTTTCATAGCTGCAGATGTTTGGCCAACCAGAAGTCCAGATTTGAGCCCCATTGGACTGCAGCTTGTGGTTATAGCGTGCTGCTATTGATCAATTAATTGAGGGCTTATGTGAAAGCAAAAAGAGACCATTTCGAATAAAATTTTGTTCATCGCTTATCTAATATATGGATTATTGAATGAAATTAACTTTATTAAAAAATGTATTGTAGTCTAATTTTTTTGTAACAGCATTTTTTGCAGGACTAAGTATATGGATTATATCATTCATTTGACTAATCACTGCCACTGAATTTGACGTAATGACGACTTATTAGATTAACAACTCTGATTTTTGTTAAATGTTAGTTGGCGTTAAGTGTAGTACTTTATCGAACGTAGAATTAAAACTTGTATAAAATAAACGGATAAAGTGTGGAGGGATCACTTTTGCTGGGTCTGGGCTTCACTGATCTTTTGATGGCATACTAATGATGCATTCTCCACAGTTCGAACAGCTTGAGTTCATATACTTGGACAATGAGCTTAAAATCTTTTCTAACACATATATGCTCGTCTATCATATCCTGTTGGTGGTATGGTGGTCTACTGGTTAATTCACTTCGTCTAGTACGTTTCATCACGACTGCCATTGGTTGCATCGTCGACTTTTAGACGCTTTTGAATTTGCTGTGTGTGTTTTTCACTGCATGATCTTTAAGAGAAGTTATGACCTGAAAAAGCTTTTAAAGTAGTATCATCTGTTTCTAGAACAAAATCAAAAATAAACCATGAAAAGGTAATCAGTCAAATTTTTAGGAAATGCCTTAGTGACCAGCATCTGTGGTCGTATTTTATTCGTTAGAGTAAGGCAGTTTGCTTAAAAGTACTCAGTTTGTAAATCCAAACTTCGAGAAAAAAACACACACACACATACATACATATCCACTTTGAAGTGCAATTTGAAGACCTTAAGCCTGGATGCCACTGTCAAGCTGTTAGATAATGCCTCAGCGCCAACCAAAAGTTCAACCTTTGGCCACAGAAAACCCACGCCGCAGGTGCGAGTTTTATGTGTCGTTTATTTGCGTATATCACCCGAAAGCTTCAAACATTCCAAACACCGCGAAGCGCACACGATTTTCACACTTACAAAGGTCGACGACAAGGGGCCTGGCTCGCCTGCCTCGCCGGTACGGCATTTACATTCGCACTGCAGGCATTAGCACAATGTGTTTACCCCCTTTTCGGCCATTTTTGTTTTTGTCTGATTTGTTATTGTTGTCGTCATGTGTATTTTTACTTTTGTAGCCCGAAATCGCACACTTTTCAGTTAAAAATTATCCACATTGCATTTTTACAATTTTACAAATGTGCTTGTGTGCGTTTCGTGTGCGACTTTTTCGAACACTGTACGCAAACGATTTACGCAACAATAATAAAAACAATGCGCGAATTATCGTCAATCAAATACACGTGAGGAGTTCACTTTCAATTGAAACGCAGCCAAGAATAATCAATATTTAAGATATAATGTAAGTATGTATATATATTTACGATTTTTAAGTATAGAATTTATGTCGATTATGTAATAAATAATTAAGTATTTTGCGGCCTACAGCAGTAATTTTTTTGCATTTTAGCACCTTGTTGTTGTTGTGGATTTTTAATTATTGAATTCAAAAAACAAACAAAAATCATCATGTTGTTGTTGTAGTTGTTGCTATTTTGATTACTTTTAATGTTTTTGGTATTTTTGTTGTTCTTGTTTTTGCTGCTGCTATTTTATTTTTGTAGTTGTTGTTGTTGGTATTTGTTGCTGTTTCGGTTTTTGGTGTTGTGTTTGCTACTGTTTTTCTAGTTGTTGTTGTTGTTGTTTTTATTTTCAAATTCACCTAATGAAAGCAAAAACGAGTCAATCCGAACTTAAATTGAATAATTAACACAAGTCTCACACGAGCGCCATAAATGAAGTCTGTCAAAATGCCCAAAGAATTGCCGAATGTTGTCCGCGAAAACAAGATTGTTCTAAAATCTTAGTCAATTGATTTAGATTGGCTGCATTGTGTATATGTTCGCATGTGTGGTGTGTGCGTGTGTGTGTTTTTGGTGGTTCTGGATTTTGCTTGTGAACTTGAATTCAATTTAATGTCTTCTTAACATTTCAGTGTTTCATCTGCAGTTGTGCAGTTGACCTTGCAATCCCACAGTTTATTCGCCGCACAACTTGTTAAAAAGTAAAAACATAAACTTTTCACACATTGCTGCTGCTTTGTTGTTTTTGCTTTTCATCTTGTTTTTGTTAATACAAGTATCTTTGCATTTAATTGTTTCGTTTATTTGTGAGGTTATTGTTGTGTTTAATTTGGTCAATTTGGCGCTGTGATTAATATATGTACATGAAATTGCAAATAGAAATATTCTGGATTTATTATTGTCACACGCGCACATACACACATACACATACATATGACTCCACATCACATACAACCCTGTGCGTTTACATTCGAATGTAATTTAATCTGATATATTTTTAACATTTTTTAAATTGTGTTAATTATTTTTATGCATTGGATGGTGGCGTGAGCTTGGCAGACATTTCATAATAACCGGTCAACATTTTTATAATGCGAAATTCTAAAAGAGTTTCGGCTTTTGGGGCAAATCCCCGTAATTGTAGTTAAGTTTGAGGTTACAGGGTGCGCTATCTTTTAATTCGGCATGAAAATATTACCAAAACTAGTTTTCATATAAATTGATCCACAATCGAACACAAAACAATATATATTTGTTAATGCCCTCAAAAATTTGTTATTTCATAGAATTTTTAGTAAACAAGATTTTTCAATGTGTATGTTCTTCCCTTCATTTGCAATCTATCCGAAATCTAATTAAAGATCCCTTAACTGTTATCCAAATTAAAGAGGTTTTAATGGTCATGTAAAATTCTGATCTATAACACTGTGCAACACTCGGCTGGGTATTGAACCACACCAATTTTCGCCTTCAAAGTTTGAAAATGAGCTTATTCAAAACATCATTAACAATTACGAGTATAGTATGTGCGTTATTAAAAAGAAAATCTATGCGCATCATCACCGGTTTCTTCCTATTTCAGTCTTATGTATATAACAGTTTCAATAAGCGACCAAAGTCAGAACCTCCAAAAAAACAAAATACTTCGCAGTGTAATTGTTCTACTTAAATTGGGATCTGTATAGATTTGCAATGTAGGAATTGCTAGCAGTTTTTAACAACCAGACCACAATAACTTTAAAACTGTTTTAAGTAAAATAAGCTTGTTGTCTAAAATGTGCTACGGTTTAGGCCTAAAAAGCTAATAGATTTTTCTGGTTTTTGCTTTAGCTGCTTGGGTTTCGATTATTTCGAGATGTCCTTTAATTCATTAGTCGCTTCCAGGAATACTTACATTGACTAGAGAAACTGTCAGACATTTTAGTTTTTTTAATGTCAATCTTATTTGTACCGATTTTGAAGTTCAACGAATTGTTAATGCAGATAGTTTTTACAAACTTTTTTATTTACTAAACTTTTTTATTTAAAGAACTTCGGCCTTCGTAAGCACAAAACAAAGTTGCTGCATCCGTACGCATACTATATGATCATGTACCCTTTTATAGCTAAATTAGGGATGAAGATTTGAACATTTCGGTTCTATCTATGATATCGATAAAAATAATGATCTTTAGTTCCTCAGTAGTTGAAAGTTTCGCTTAAAAAAGAAAGCTGTACAAAGGGAATTTTTGAACAGCTATATTTAGAGATTTGTCTGTATTTCAATATATTTGATTTATATATATTCTTTTTGAGCTTAACTCATATTATAGGAAAATAAATGCAAATAATATTCAAAAGCTATAAGAGAACTAGTTCCACTTAAGCAAAAATGCTGTATGAGGTGGCCATAACATCCATTCATGAGGATTCTATATATCCGTATTACTTTTCAACAAGCGTAATGGAACGTACTTTGATGCATAATGTTCGCTCTGCCTGTCTTTAGAAGATCAAATGCTAAAGTAATATTTTATATTTGGAAGTGTTGCAACACTCATACTTCGTATGCGATATATTTAATTAGTTCCATTTTTTTCATTTAAAACCATTTAAAAAGATTATCTTCTTTACCTTAACTGGTAGTACTTCGTCGCTTCATCAGCCGTTGTTTTCTTTTTATATTGTCGAAAGTGTCTTTCATCCATTCCCAATTTTGTCTTTGAATCCAGATGCTAATGGTTACCATGTCAAATTTATTAAAATTATTTTAAAGATTTTTTTACGTCCAAGTCTGGTAATTGTAAAACTTACTTTACAAATGGAACTGCTCTACAAAGCTGAATCCATATTTTTCTTTTATCATAACATAATCATATATGATACGCCAATTATCCAGTCCAAATAAAGGATAATGCTTCAGAATTTGTCTCTTTCTTTGCGTTCTTGTTAAATTTGATTTTTGTTTGGTATCCGAATCAAAGAGTTTTACAGTTTTATTTCGAAAATATTCGCCATATTAGATCCGTTGTTGCTTTTTGCTGTCTTTAGTGTTGTTGTAATCATGGTCGTTCTAAATAAGTTCATTGTTATGTTAAATGGTCTCTTTGAATACCTCAATTTAAATTAACGCTCCAACGCCCACCAGACATCTTGATCGTCGCCACCAAACCTATGATTTAACATAGAATACCGTCCGCTGTAATGAAAAAAATAAATAAATATTTCGATGAGTTGAAAACTTTCTTCAGCCAAGACCCAAACCACCTGCACAGATGGGAAAACTATATATACTTGTATTATAAATGATAAGCGTGACGAACTGAGGCGATTTATACGATACGATATATACACGAAGTAGTTGCACAGTTTTTGAGATATCGATCTGAATGTTTGCATACATCCATTTTTCTTGATCTTTATTTTACGCTTTTCTTCCTTCCTCACTATAGTTTCCATCCCTAACCTGAAGAAAGCTATACTATGTATTTCTCCTAGAGTCATAAAATATTAACTGTGTATATAATATCTGAATGACGGTTTAATTTATATACTTAATTAACAAACAAAACAAAATGTTTGAGGCTCTGAATGTTACAGTTATTTCCGGTCAGGATTGAGGTTTGTGTGTATGTGCATGAGTACTTAAGGCACCGAGAATGCATCCGCCGTAGCAGATTTGCAACGCTTAAACATTCACACAAACTATTTCATTCACTAATTCATTCATTCATTCTACAAATTACTTGGACTTTATGTCTGCCGCGCGCCGGACAAGTACTTATATTACTTACACACACACACACAAGATTTGTGCGACACTTTAAACATTAATTCATTACTTAGTTTCCGCCTCAGATGGATGGCTGCGATTCGAAGCTCAAATCATAAGTTCAAGTGAGCATCACAACAAAAACAAATAAAAAAACAATAACAACAAATAAAAAGTGAACTAGAAGACAATTTGTCAGACGATTTTGTGTGGGCGGCTTTGCGTTCCAAAAGAAGAAGAGAAAATTGTCGCTGAAAACAAACAAATGATGACAGCTAAATGATTGCAAAACAACAACAACAACAACAGAAGCAATTAAACAAATAGCAAATATCGCATTGGCTTTTACGGTCCGCTGTGACGAATTGCATAATGAAATCAAATCGCCATATATGATAGGTGATGTGTGTTGTGGTTGTTGTTGTTGGTGTTGTTAAAGGTAAGTGGTTGAGTGCTCTTTTGTGAAACGCACGGCAGCTGTCCGATCGACAAATCATTTAGTTTGCTCTTTGCTTGATATTATTTTACATGCAAGTTATGTTGATTTATTCGTGTGTGTATGTGTGTGTGTAAGCAAACAAATCAAATGTTGACAATGTGAGTGGCAGAGGTGGCGGTGGCTACTTTGCCGCTGGCCAACAACACTTCACCAGCAGCAACAACACTACAGAAACACTTGTGAATTGCACTTAAATTGCATAGATAAGTGATAAATAAATTAAATGTTTTAATGTTGGTACAGTATTATGACGCGCCCGCGTGCAACACACAGCGGGACGCCGGAGTATAGGTGAATTATATGATTAGGCATTAATTATGGTATAGTTTTACATAAATATCTGCATAAGATTACTTAGTTTTATAATTTAAGGTAATCTAATGCTGAGCTACCGTGTGCCGGACAGTTAGAAAATATGAGTCGAAATGCTACTGTACTGAAGTCAAAGCAATCATTCCGTCTATAAAGTTGGATCAGTAGATGTAATAACCTACGTAACCAACGTAACCTCAAATACTTAGCTGCCAGCTGTTATACCATCCACTTCGTTCCTAACCCGTTACGAATGCATCATCTTCAAACATTGCAATTTAAGTGAGAAATGCTAGATAATTATTTTAGTTCTAAAAGGTTAATCTGAAAATATTTTTATTGTGGTGATGCAGAAGAGGTCGTTTAGCTTTATACAATCTGGTGATAACCTTTGCCGGACGCTAATTGTGGCAGTTGTCTGAAGGAAGACGAGATGTATGTCGGCACTTCTTTCTATACCGCCCAGGTTTGGAAACACTAAGGTTGAAAAATCTTGAATCTTATACTATACGCTTTGTTGATATATGAGAGCTTTGTTCCATCTTTAGCAGCAAAAAAACAATAAGTAATCAGTGATATTCCTGTGTTCTCTATCGTGGTTATCAGCCCCAATACTTAACTTAAAATAAGTTAGTAACTTAACATCACTGGGATTTCATGTTTTCATTAGAACTAAAACACGCAATCATTCAGGGAGATGGTGCACTCTTTGAGCACATAAGTATCATACTTGTAGAGGCATAAAGGTTTGGTGTGGATCGTGAGCTCGATCTTCTGCTATCCATTCAGCAATCACTAATCGCTGAGAGGTTCGACAAAAAGAGAGGATCAGTCTATAAAAAACATTGTGCTTTGCCAAAAACGCCGGTTTTCCAACTTTCTTCTGATATGATGATCTTCAATTTTATTTTCTCTGATTATACAGAGTTATACCGTATGAAGGCTTTTTTTTGAAAAAACTTATATGACGAGTTCGGGGACTTAAAAATCGGTGATCAAAAGTACTCCAGTAGTTTTACAGACATGAATATAGTACACAAGCCTTTCTTTGAAATGCATTTAAGGAGTACCGTTATATGAGTGTGAATGTGATATCAGCGCATCTAGCTTACATTCGAAAGTAAGGTTAACATAATTTATTTGAGTAAAATATGTGAAAATTGTTTATATTATTATATTACTTTTTGTTCTCCGAATTTTACGACATGAGTGCATGCACATACATATGTTTGAATATAGATTGTACCAAAATGATGTACATATTTTACCACTAACTATAAGTCTGCTTATTTTGACTCCCTTGATCTTAACGCACAATGCTTGTCAACCATTTGCTTGATCAACTTGATTCAATGGCTTTATAACCGGTGAACCCACTGTTTTTTTCTGAACGTTCGAATGTCGTCGTATAAGCATAAATAACACTTCCCCTTAGCACCATCAACAAATATCACACATTTTATATCAAAGTAGCTAATGATGGAAGGTGTCTACTAACCATTTACTACTTTGTGGTAAACGCCTTGCGGAAATCTTGTAGTTGGTGTGTTTGTAGTTTTCTTATATATCTTTATATATAGTTGTGTTGTTATTATACCCTAAACAGGGTATATTAAGTTGGCATCGAAGTTTATAACACTTTAGAAGGAAACGTGGTGATCAGCATGACAAGCTGATCCGATTTAGTTATGTCCGTATTTTTGTCTGTCTGTCTGAATTAGTCTCTCAGTTTTTGAAATATCGATCCGAAATTTTGCACTTCGGAATCGCGGATATCGGACCACTATAAGTTATCTAAGCTGTCATACAAACTGATCGGTCAAAATAAAGACCTTGTATCGAAAGCTTTTTTTATGTGAGAAATTATGAGTACCTTCACAAAATAGCATAGATTACTATCCAACATAGTTCTACAATTTTCAATTATAGAGTTCAGATCGGACCACTATAGCTTATAGCATATAGACTGATCAAAATCAAGTTAATAATTTTTTTATACCCTTTTATGCTATAAGAAATGTACTTGTGAAGGGTATTGTGGCTTCGATGCAACCAAAGGTGGCGTTTTTTCTTGTTTTTGTTTTCTTTCACACTGACTAACGTTATGGTGTGCACTTGTTGCAGCTGAGTGACATTTAATTGTCAGCGCACAGCTTGCTGCAGCGCCACTTGTGACAATAAGTGTTGTTGATTTGCTGATGGAAGCGATTAATCGTGTAATTTATTTCATAAAGCAAACTGGTGTAATGGTAACAAAGTCACAAATAAATTGCGCTCGAATTGCGTAGTTGTTGTTTTACATACATATAAATACAACAATGTATGAATGCTCTCCTTTATGCTAGCAGACACACACACACACATATATACATATATAAATAAGTGTGTTCTAATATTGCTTTTGCATAGATGTCTGGTTACATATTGGCTAGACATGCGCATCATCGTCAATAGCATGAAGGTTATCCACTTAGCGACTTGAGCTCATGTAACATAAGGAGTGAATAAATAACTGTTCTATGGCAAAAGCTTAAAAGCAATATTTATGTTATATTGTTGATGGAATTGTTGATTTCTTATTAAATATTTTCTTTGCATTATCTTCAGTGAATATATATTTGTAAATTCTTTCTATTTTGGGTTAAGAATATAATTTTTATTCCATAATATTATTTATTTTTAGACTATAATAGATAAATTATTATAAGGAAGTTCTCTCGAGCTAATTTCTGAAACACTATCTTATCTGATGGATGAGTGGGGAAAGTAGTCAACAGAAGCAAACTAAAATTGGGCAATTAAGAGATTTTTACCAATACCTTTTCTGTTCCGTTGAATAAAATTCTCGTTCACTTAATATATTCCAATCAGAAATTGGAGAGATTTTATCTCCGAACAACTTTTGATATATGATTTTCGATTTGATATATGATTATCACGTTTTCCAATGTTCTCATGACACCTGAATCTATAGGTGCAGTAATACTAGAAAAAAGCTTGTGACTCAAGTATACTTTTTATGAAAATGAGAAATTTAAGGTATTATTTAGTTTAGTTAGAATTCTCCGATTTAGGTGGCCTGGCGTTGTATTGATAGAACACAATTTCTCTACTACCTATGCTATATACTTATGTTAAATTACTTACTTACTTCAAACGGTCCAATGGTTGACAGTACAGGTCCCAATTAAGAGTTTGGCCGTGGGATCAGCTCATAGTAGATGATTCCCTGCCAATCACATCAAACACACAGCAAACGCTTCCTGACCGTCAATTCTGACTAAGCAACCGTTTGCGCCGGTTCACCACAACCGTTTTCGATTGGCGTTGTCGTAAGTAACGAACTTTTCATCACCAGTAACCAAATGGATTGTGGTACGCATATGAAAACTTGATCCGTGAGGTTATTTTTTGTTAGCTCGTGTGGCAACTATATATTGAGCTTCTTTTTATATCCAGCCTTAGTTAAATAGTATCTAAACATTTTTTGTGCCATGTTTAGCTGCTGGGCAAACGCAATAGTGCTTACATGACGGTCGGACTCCAAGGTTTTCATTATTTTATCGATATTTTCGATAATTGATTTTCCAGAACGTGGTACATCCTTGACATTCAA